TGCAGAAAACAGAAATGAACAAGTAAACCCACAAGATCATTTCCCATGGTGGTGAGAGCTGGGATGAAAATAAAACAGCGTGGCAGGGAGGAGGCAAATGTGAGTCTGGAGGGTTCCTGGAGAATGGGGCCTGAGGCGTGACCACCCCCTTCCTCTCTGGGGGGACTGCCTGCCGCCTCCGCAGACACCCATGGTTCAGTGCCCTCCAGGCCCCTGCCTACCCCAGCATCCCCTGCGCGAAGCTGGGTGCCCCGGGGAGTCTGACCACCATGCCACCTCCTTGCCTCCTCTTCTTCCTCCTCTTCCTCACCCCCATGGAAGTCAGGCCCCAGGAACCTCTAGTGGTGAAGGTGGAAGGTATGTCCAAAGGGCAGAAAGGGAAGGGATGGAGGCTGGAAACTTGGGTTGTGGCTGGGTGTCCTTGGCTGAGTAACTTACCCTCTCTGAGCCTCCATTTTCTTATTTGTGAAATTCAGGGAGGGGTTGGAAGGACTCTGCCGGCTCCTCCACTCCCAGTTTTTGGAGTCCTCTGATCTATAACCCGGTGTGAGGAGTGGGGGGGCTTGGAGGTCCCCCCGTCATGCCCACACCTCTGTCCCTCTCTCTCCACAGAGGGAGATAACGCTGTGCTGCAGTGCCTCGAGGGGACCTCAGATGGCCCCACTCAGCAGCTGGTCTGGTGTCGGGACTCCCCGTTTGAACCCTTCTTAAATCTCAGCCTGGGGCTGCCAGGCATGGGAATCCGCATGGGGCCCCTGGGCATCTGGCTTTTAATCTTCAACGTCTCTAACCAGACGGGGGGCTTCTACCTATGCCAGCCGGGGCTCCCCTCTGAGAAGGCCTGGCAGCCTGGCTGGACAGTCAGTGTGGAGGGCAGCGGTGAGGGCCGGGCTGGCCGGGCTAGGGCAGGGGCAGGAGGAGAGAAGGGAGGCCACCATGGACAGAAGAGGTCCGCGGTCACAATGGAGCTGGAGAGAGGGGCTGGAGGGATTGAGGGCGAAACTCGGAGCTAGGTGGGCAGACTCCTGGGGCTTCGTGGCTTCAGCATGAGCTGCTTCCTGTCCCTCCACCTCTCACTGCCTTCTCTCTCTGTCTCTCTCTGAGTCTTTGTCTCTATTTATCTCTGCCTTTGAGTCTCTCTCTCTCTCCCTCTCCTGGGTGTCTCTGCATTTGGTTCTGGGTCTCTTCCCAGGGGAGCTGTTCCGGTGGAATGTTTCGGACCTAGGTGGCCTGGGCTGTGGCCTGAAGAACAGGTCCTCAGAGGGCCCCAGCTCCCCTTCTGGGAAACTCAACAGCTCCCAACTGTATGTGTGGGCCAAAGACAGACCTGAGATCTGGGAGGGAGAGCCTGTGTGTGGCCCACCGAGGGACAGCCTGAACCAGAGCCTGAGCCAGGGTAAGGTGATGATTGGGGAGATGCCAGGAAGTGGGGGTCCAGAGACGGAGGGGAGGGGAAACTGAAGAGGTGTGAGACCCTGAGGATCAGGCTTTCCTCGTCTTATCTCTCCCTGCCCCAGACCTCACCATGGCCCCGGGCTCCACACTCTGGCTGTCCTGTGGGGTACCCCCTGACTCTGTGTCCAGGGGCCCCCTCTCCTGGACCCATGTGCGCCCCAAGGGGCCTAAGTCCTCATTGTTGAGCCTAGAGCTGAAGGACGATCGCCCAGACAGAGATATGTGGGTAGTGGACACGGGTCTGTTGTTGACCCGGGCCACAGCTCAAGACGCTGGGAAGTATTATTGTCACCGTGGCAACCGGACCAAGTCATTCTACCTGGAGATCACTGCTCGGCCAGGTAGAGTTTCTCTCAACTGGGAGGCATCTGTGTGGGGTGTACTGGCAAGAAGTGGAAGCCAGTCAATCTTAGGTTCCCCCAACCTGAGGGCTACTCCCAGCCTCACCCCAAACCCCAACTTCCACACAGAACATTGACTCCAAGTCTTTTTTTTTTTTTTTGACGGAGTCTTGCTCTGTCGCCTAGGCTGGAGGTGCAGTGGTGCCATCTCGTCTTGGCTCACTGCAACCTCCGCCTCCCAGGTTCAAGCGATTCTCCTGCCTCAGCCTCCTGAATAGCTGGGATTACAGGTGCCCACCACCATACCTGGCTAATTTTTTTTTTTTTTGAGAGCAGTCTTTCACTGTCACCCAGGCTGGAGTGCAATGGTGCAATCTCAGCTCACTGCAACTTTCGCCTTCCAAGTTCAAGTGATTCTCCTGCCTCAGCCTCCCGAGTAGCTGGGATTACAGGCGCTCGCCACCATGCCTGGCTAATTTTTTTGTATTTTTTTTTTTTGAGATGGAGTCTTGCTCTGTCGCCCAGG